GTTTAGTAATATTAACAGTGAGTTGGTCCAGTCAATACCTTCTAATCTATCTAGGTCACCCAATCAGTTAGACAGTTGGCCTTTCAAAATGCAGCTAGAATGGAATGACTCTTAATGCCACTGGGATGGGCTTGGTATCCTGATGAGGTATCCCAGTGATCAGTACTGCACTGTCACACTGAGCAACAGCAGAAGACAGATCCATGTATGTATCGATTTTCAGGAGGGCTTATTCATGATCTCAGTAGGCAAACTAGTCTGAAAATAGAATCTTTTCTACGTTGAAGGCTTTGGTTCTTAAGGATTATACCTGTTATTGGAATGCTTGCCTAGGTAGACACTAAAAGCAGCGCTAGTAATACGTAAGCAAAAATTGGGTCAAAATGCAAATAAAACTGGCAGTACCACAGAACCAGAAGTAAAATAACCCTACTTCTTCTCTGTATTAAGTCTTCTGCACAAGATAACGGAAGCTACCTTCTAGTGTTTAACACTTTTTATGGGGGAAGCTGCTTCATAAAACCTACAACTTCTGGCATGCTCGGTGGTGGAGTTCCGCCTTATCTAGGTTTTACTGACCAGAAAGGTGTGTCTATAACCTTGATGGTATTGATGGTTTGTCGTAAGTCTGAACTACTTTTACATGTCTTCACAGATGGCGACGTTAATGTTTGCTTGCTCAGTCCCTTAAATGACTAGTTTTTACCCAGTGTTCTAGCCTTTTTTCAATGAAGAGTTTATATTCATTGAATGGTAACAAAAGAACAGGGATCACTATGTGAATGTTTCATTTAAACCCAAGACTCCTCACAACCACTCAGTACTGACCAAGTATGCAACTGAACTCAGACTCCACTTTTGTATTTATCATGGGCTAACACCGGTGTGGATAACCATTAGAAACCTGGGAGCACTGGAAAACTGTTTGGCCCTAGTGTGGGACTCTTCAACAGCGCACATTCATGGTCCTACCAAAGACTGAACCCTGGACCTTACCCAGAACGTTATCACTAAGGCACTGGGCTAGAATATGAATCACTGGATTCCGACCCAGTGGTTCAGTGGCAACGTTCTGGCAACGGAACCTGAAGGTCCAGGGTTTGATCCTTCATGAGGTCATGAGTACGCGCCGCTGAGGAATTCCATACTAGGATGAAACAGCTGTCCAGTCCTCTCAGGTTTCTAATGTTCCTCCAAAGTGATGTCAGTTTGTGATGAATATCAACCTGAAATCGATGAATCAGTCCCCACAAACCTCAAGAATTGAACCCAGACTGTTGCTGTTTCTAAACGAGCACTTTCTCAAGAAAGAATTCACTTGGAATTCAATGACCCACGTTTTCCAACTTATAGTATAGTACCAGTGAGGGTAAGTGGTCCCTGATGATGGTATCAGATCAGTTATATTTGAAAAGTATGAATCCTGATTCACTGTTTTATTGGTACCGTGCACATCGCTAACTTTGAACATCATTCAATCCCATTAGAAAGTGATTGTACCCTCTGCAAAGAAGTTTCAAGCCATAACGATACATTTTTATGATTCCATAGCTAATTTAAATGAATGACAAGGTCGGTAGTTTGCCAAATGTTTCATTTTTGGGAAGGTTATCTGTAAAAAATTCGCAACACATTTTTTCAGTGTGGATTGATATCATATAAGTTCGATGGGTTACTGTCCTAAACCATATTCTCATCTAAACAACCGTATCATACTTCGCCATTTGTTTCATGTTTTCTTCCCTGATTTGTTTGATTTCGGGTGAATTTAACGATCACTGTAGCAACTGTTGGTACAGCCAGTTACATTCCTTTTTTTATGCGAAAGTAATTCTCCAGACAAAATACAGGAGCCTGATTGGTCGTCTCGGTAGTTACTAGGGTAGCCTCTAAAGTCATTCTCGATTTTCAACCACATTGTCTTTCTCTCTGTCTTCTGCCTTGTTGTCGTGTTTCTTGACATGTTGAGGTGAGGCATAGCAACTTGAACAGTTATGTAGTAATCCTAGGTCCCATGCGTATGCTGAATGATGCCAATAAACTCCTAGTAGTATCTAAAGGCCATGGATTTAAACAGCCATGATTTGAGGTTAGATTCAATGAGACATCACATTTTGCTGCCTCATTTGATTTCATTAACTGAGTGATTTTTCAAGATTGTACATTTTAGCAGCATCAACCAAGGTTGGCAAATCAAATACCGTACTACATTAAATTAGATTATCATATTGGACAAACTATTTTTTATAACCTATTGGTGTTGTCAATCGTTAAAACCACTAGCCAACTAGTCGCGTGGACATGTTTTAAAGGCATTGAGTTCTGATTGGTTGATAAGATCTAAAAAATCCCGAAGCATCTGGTTGGCTAGCTGACTTAAACTTGTGGAAAGTATTTATAGGGACATTAGCTAAGATAATTAAATTCCTTATCTTAGTAATTTGTATCCTGTTTACAGCCAAATTATTTTCAAACTGATTTTATTTACAAAATATGGATTCTTCGCCGCCCACATTACTGAATGCTCTAAGGCCGCTTGCTACAAACAGACCAAAGACATGTTTGAGGCTAACATCCATGCATCCAACTTCATATCCAGATTTCGCCAAAAAACTTGATGGTGATCACAGTTTGAACTTACAAAATCGTATTCTGAAAAATAAAGATGTGAACCAAAGGACGGCAGGGCATGCGGTTGTGAAATCAGATGGATCTTCTTCAAAGCTAACAAAATTTGTGAAACGCTTTAGCATTAGCCTACCACCTTCAGAGCAAGTCGAAAAGAAGAATACTACTCATTTTGATTTCAACACATGGAAAAGACGCAAATCTTCAATGAACACTAGAGATAGATCGCCATTAAGTATAAATGAAGCGAGGGAGACTACTGAAGATCTGAAGAGTGAAGCAAATGAAAACAGTTTACCTACAGGAATTACTAGTTCTTCATTAGCGGATGTATGCCCGAAAGCGTATCAATCCTTGGTTTCCACTACATGTTCAAAACGGAAAAGCACTCTTACTAGATGGTTTGAGAAAAATGTCAAACAGCCTGGAAAATCATTATCACATTCATCTCCAATAAATGACTGTCAAGCAACAGATCCCATCGAATTAGAAAGGTTATCTATTCGTAAACAAGTGAAACAAGAATATCTTAGTAGTCGAAATGATACTGTCGCCAATCACCAAGGTATTACGCCTTACACTAAAGTCTCTAAGTCTCGACGTAGTCTTATGAGGCGTAAACGACTTTCAAATAGCGCTATTGTGTAAGTCATACTGATTGTCTGTAAATGTATATTTGGTTAGCAGTTTTGTTATGTAAGGATGCACTTTAATTTCTGGTGAATTATTTCGTGACCAGTTGGGATTTTTATTTTCTTTAATTGGAACTGATTGCTAGTTGCATGATGTTATTTTATGGTGTTATTTCTATGATGTGAGTTTTAGGTGAAAACTTTTCTTTGCCACAAGTGGAAATGGGCTCAGCCTATTTAAACTATTTTTGTTGTATTGCAATAATGAAGTGGTAATAAAGTAACTTGTCTGCTTTGTGCAAACGTTCATTCAGTAGACTGTTAACTACACTTAGTGGACGAGAACTTATTGTACTACCCGGTTTATAAGGGTTGAAGTAGATGGAAAGAGGTTCGAACATATACACATAGACTTTCACTATATGCTGTGGACGACTGATACATTCACGTGTAATAATTTAGTAGTCTGATAAGTTGTCCGATTTATGAGCTTTGTATAGTCTTTTCCTTCCTCATGTTCTCACACAGCAAATAGCTCGATTTTTGATTACTTAAAAAAAGATTTCATAAGTGATTCGAATGGTAGTGAACAATAGTCATTCTAGGAAGTATTTTGCTCACCGAATATAAACCATCCCATAGCATTGGTACAGGTCGTTCTGTGTTGTGTTGAACAGACATGCGTTATATGGGGTACTGTATATCCATCTCGGTCACTAGCAACGGAATCCGGGACGTGTGTTTCGTTCCACAAGGGGCTTGTCAACCGGATGTATTTGCACCACAGTAGCTTGGTGGACAGAGCTTCGGCGTTCCAAACAATGGGTTGTGGATTCCAGTATCAGTTGGAACACCATTCACTGGTGCAGATACACACGTTTAGTTTTATTTTCGTAGGTAGGATTTACAACTGACATTAGATGTACATTATATTTGTGTAAGGATTTATGATTACTGAGAGAATTTCAGTGCTTTCAGTTGTGCCGTATAGTATATCCATCGTTTCTTTTCGTTACCAATATTAAAAGTTTCAAGGTCATGATTTGAATGTGCGAACTCATGACTCATTGCTTTCCAATGTCTGAGTTGAAACGACATAAGTGGATCATATAGAGCTCAGATCTCAAAAATATACACTACCACTATGCGAGATATAACTTTGCAGGCGAAATTGTTTCTGCGTACACGTGTGTATAGGATCTTTCATGACACGGGTGGTGTAGGTGAATCAAGATTAAATATTTATTGTAGTCGATAATCTCCCTCACCTTACCACCCTGTTTTCCGATCACATAGGGTCAGACAGTTTGATTGAAACAGACATCGAGAGAGAGAGAGAGAGAGAGAGAGAAAACACCATTTGTCTTTTAAGTGGGCACGATTCAGAAATAAACTTCCACGTGCATAATTTCTCCCCCTTCAAATGCACATACATATTAACATACGTTAGCAAACTGGATCTAACGCTAAAATTATATGAATGAATGACTCACCACATTCAAATATTTGAGCAGCTGGTGTAAAATTTTTCCCATATTGGAAACATATGGGAATAATAATAATAATAATAATGATAATAATAATGTCTTTGTTTGTTTTTCCCGTTTTCTTACTTAATGTGATCCGAAAAATACGACTATTCACAGTCCCGTACAAAGGTTTCCTGGCTGATTGCTTACAGTATTTTTAAATACTTTTTCAAATCACTTATGTTTACCGTTGTTATATGTCAAATTTCAGAGTATCAAAATCTCAGGAAGACACAATATCAAGAAATTCTTCAGTACGAAATGTCGGTCCCACAGATAGCTGTAGTCGTTGTGATGACGGTGCACAGGGAAAGCATGAAAAGATCATATCTCTGGAGAATAAAAATGTTGAGTCTACTCAACCTAATGTATATGGATGTCTTAGTAGAGCAGCCTATGGTTCTGAAAGATACATTAATAATCAGGATGATAATTGGTTCATTATTCCACCTACTGGAGTCGATGGTCCATGCTCTCAAAAGCAGAATAGTACTTATTCAAGTATTAGTTCAATTGTTTCAGATGTAACAAATACCAGTCATTCAGTAGTTAGGAGTAATGGATCCAACAAATCTCTTCCCAACACATTTTATACACCCACAATGAAGCGACGGCTACGATTACCTATCCCTTCTGAATTTTTGTATTCAACAACACCAACAAACACACCAGGAATGGTGACCTGCAAACCATCAACTCCTTCAAACGATGTTATAGCTCAGCCATCAGCATCAAATGTGCAGTCAGACATAAATCGATCTAGTGATCAAGATTCTGGACTTTCGTCACAATTAAGTGGAATATTTCAAGGAACAGATGTGGAAAGTCAGAATGGAGAGTTTTTACACCCGTTAGATCCACTGGGACTCGCATCCACAGCGAGCTGGACAACTACACTGCGTCAGTCGATGAAGCAAGCGAATAATAAACGTGCATTACTAGCAGGTTGCACTTTATTCAATAGGTGAGTGATTAGATTGCTAAAATGTCGAGTTCACTGAATAGCGGTGAATGTATGTACAAAAGATTAGGTTTTCACCCATCACCAGACTAGTCTGTAGCCGCAGAAAATATCTGAATAAGAGCTTGGAAATGTCTAAGTTTTACATGAAGTTTTAGAGTATAGAACGAAAGGATTTCCTGCTGTTGATTGGTTTCGACTGATTTCAAGTTTTAGTGGCAACACCATCACTCATTGCGATATGAGTGCGTCCAGCTGACGAGTCCCAAACAGAACGACACACACTACTAGCCACTATTTATCTTTAATATCAGGATATAAACATTTAATGGTGAAGAGTGAATGCGTCTCGACCATTTGCTCTGAGAGGAGGAAAGGGAAGAAATGGAAAGGCTTACATAATAGTTACCGAAGTTTTGGGTCTTTAACCATCTATTTAAACCGTAGAAGTTATCAGTTGTTAACATTTAAAGAGTCATGAGCACTGACCACAGTTAACCATTAATATATGACGACCAATCACAATAGTTAAATGCTTGTGACGGGTGAGATAACGAAGTATTTGTAATAAGTATTTTTCAATTTATAAACCAACCTAGTATCTCAAAAAGCATATCTGTTTTGCACCGATTACAGGAACCCAGTTGAAGGAATTAACTACCTCATCAGAAATTATATTCTAGTATCTGATCCTGTAAAAATTGCTGAGTTTCTACTCAATGAATCAAATCTAAATCGTCAAGCCATTGGAGAATATTTTGGTATACTGGACAATTCACTAGCTACTGAAGTTTTAAAGTAAGTTCTATTGAGATTTCAATGTGACATCTAAATTTTGGTTGGTTAATGTGTACAAAGTGTTGATACTTGAGCGTTAAATTTCCAATAGTTCTTATATCTGTTTTCATTAAATTGGTTCGACCCAAAATATTAATGTTTTAAAAAAAATGAAGAATCGGATTGATATGTGGAACAAATCTTTTTTCTTGTCGATTGAATTCTAATATTTCGTACAAGAAATCAGCCTTATTTATGCATTCTTGTGACTTTGGAGGACTACAACTTTCAGTTAGAGTTTTCGGATAAAATTCTCTAAGTAGTTGAAGTTTCTCGTTATACTGACGTATATAAGATGACACTGGGTATTATTCATCGTCTTAAAAGTAAGAACTGCATGGATCCATGACTAGTAGTTTTTAAGTTCAACCTTGATTGAAATCCTAATGTTTATTTTATTGATATAATCATATTTTTTAAAATTTACTTTACAGGGAATTTTTACTTTTGATCGATATGAAGGATATGGAAGTTGATGTTGCTCTACGTTCAGTTATTGGTCACTTTCATCCATCGGTAGGTCCTCTAAATCTAATTATCTGGTAACGAATTTCAATAATGATAACATATCCGGTTGTTTGCTAGCAGAGGAATCCAGGATGCGCGTTTCCTCCTACTCAGGACTCATCAGCTGGGCGCACCTACACCCCAGTGAGTGATGTTGTTCCCGCTAAAACTCGGACCTCGTACCCATCTCTTTAAACGCCAAAGCATTATCCACTGGACCTCTGAGGCATGACAGTCACATTTTGTATAGTGGGTATTAGTTATTATTATTTGGTGATGTACTCGTAATCCTCCGCTTTCACACTGGGACGAAGTGTTCGACCTCTGTTAGCATATTGGCTCCTATGTGGCTGCTTCGATGTTGCCTGAATATTTACTATGATAATTTAATTGGTTGTGGCTAGCAGAGGAATCCATGACGAGCATTTCATCCATTTTGGGACTCGTCAGCTGGGTGTAAATGGATCCTAGTGAGTGGTGTTATTCTCACTGAGACTCAAATCTTGTACTCATAACTTTAAACATAGATGCGTTATCCATTAGGCCATTAGTTGTTATTAAAGTGACTACTAAAAGTTTTTCTTTGTGTCTTTGATGTAAAACAATAGCACTTTATTCACCAGATTTGTATAGATCAATTTTAGTGGAGACAGAATTCAGCATTGCTGATGGTTTGGTGTTCTCAGCTTTAGTACTTTGTTGTGAAATGTTTTGAAATGATGGACTAAGGTTTTCTAGTATCCTCTGAGGTTTGGTTTTTTGCCGTGGACGTTTCATCACCTGGCTTATGGCATCCCCAGCACTAACATCATAAAGAAGATATCTCTTTGAAGTGCTGAGGATGTAACCAGACCTGATGATGAAACATCCATGATAAAAGACCAAACCTCAGAGAACACTAGAAAACCGAAGTCCATCATTTCAAATATTAGATTGCCTTATTTGCTTGCAATTCTACTCTTGGTCAATTATGATTTTCAAATGACTTTTATGTATAAAAATTTCGGCTTTTTCCTGTTTCAGGGTGAATCTCAAAAAATCGCTTATCTAATGCAATTATTCCAGGAAGTGTACATACAACAAAATCCAGATCGTGTTCATAAGCTGTTTCGTAATTCAGAGACAATAGAGGTTTTAGCCTATTCAGTATTGTTGTTGCATACTGACCTCCACAATCCAAATGTTGGGAAAATGGGGACACGTATGAGCAAACAAGGTTTTATTACTAATAATCGTGGAATTGATTCTAATCATGATGTGCCCAAAGATTTACTGGAAGGGATTTATGAGCGTGTCGCTGCATCCGAATTCAAAACATTACCAGATCCTTCAGATAAGCTTCGTGCTTTAGATGGGGTTTTGGTTGGACCTTTGAAAACAGATAATTTTGTGCAAAGACATCGCCGTTTCATTGGTAGAATACTGGCACAGCAGATTGAAAAGGTAGTTCCTAAAAGAGTACCAGCTAAAAGTAATTCCCGGTGGCGTTATTTTTTAATATTCAACGACATCCTGGTGGTTGTAAAGTCGCTGAGTACGGCACGTCTGAGATCAGATTCTTTAATGAACACAGTGGCTGCAGTAGCTATGGGAGATCAGAATCCAAGCCGTCATTACACACCAAGAAATTCTATATCCAGTCTCCGAACTCAAAATTCAAAAGATCAAGGCAAGAATAGGAGAAGTCGCAGTTCATCTGGCCTGGCGCAGAATGCAACAGAAAAAGTGTTCTGCTCTACAGAACCTTTCCCTAGTGACACTTCATACCAAGTTCGCAATGTTTATCCATTCCTCAATCTACATCTACTAGTTTTTGAATCAAACTGTAAGTTTCTCATCATTGGATTGATGATACTGAAATGATACTGTTAAGTTATTAAAATATAATCTAAGAGAGAAGATGCGTTTACTTAGGTAATCAAATTAGTGACCATAGATACTGTACGGTAATTCCTTTTGTCAACTAATTCTAATTCTGAGAGTTCGGAGAGGTTACCTCGTAATTCACAATCGTATAATATTGCACCATAGAGAGTTAGCTTGCTTCCAAATCGCTTGTGATTAGAAATACTTTCAAGCAAAACAGGTTGAGGTTAATTTCATCCATTCATTACATTTATATAACGCAATAACCCATTGTCGTTGTTTTGTCCCCTAGAGCGCAACGAATCACGGTGAAAACAACCTTCCCTTGTAAACATATTTACCTTAACGTCACGCAGATATCTTTGAATAAAGCACTCTACAAAATGCTGTAAAACTATTGAATTTAAGCTTGTTCGATAAATTCTATGCGTAGTTGTAAAAATATTCTATCTAGCTGTGTTGTTTGGACCTTTGTTTGTTTATTTTTGTTATTTATTGTCACAATCATTCTAAATCTGATCGCTGATTACGCATGCACATATTGACGGTAATATATTACAAAAATGCTTTTCTCACTATGTGTGTGTGTGTGGGTTGAAGACTCCCTGCTAAGTCTACATAATAGATTGCCAAAGGGAATTCGTTACATAAATGTTAGAAATTAGTATCAAACCAGTTGAGATAAGGAAATATGCCCCAAATATCCACCCTATTAATCCATAGGGGGGGAAGGGGGGGCAGAAAACCAGCAAAATATGGGAAGAAAATAACCAAGGCGGTGAAGTAATTTGAAAGATGAAGTTTTAGTTTAGAAATCACCACGTGATTTTACCCCGTCGTGACGACATGGGGAGGTGGTAGACTTGAAAAAAGGAATTTTTAGGTGTGATTGCGTGACATAACCAAAAATATTTCATTCGTTTTATGACTCAGCGCATACTGATTCAAATTAGGCCATTTCCAAATGATTTAATACCCTTGGGTATTGTGTCACAAGTTTATGTCATTATGCCATTATTCATTCGTCTTGTTGGAAGTAACCGAAGCTGTAAAGAATATTCTGGTATGAAACAATAGCTCAGGTATCTTGCTAATGGCAGGTTGAATTCAGGTGAATACAAGTGTAGACACTGATGAAATTAGAACAGAGACGAATCCCAGGCTCGTATTTCATTGCCGATTTGGGATCACAGCTCATTCGAACGACTTTGGTCTGACTACTTTGGAAATATCTTCACCCTTTCACATCAAAACCAATATGGTGATAGACATTCACAAGTATGCAAAGTTTTAATACTGATTTATCTAAGACGTACTTGTGAATCATAAACGCTTACTGATCTGTTTTGTTTGTGTTTATTTTCTCTTTGTATGATCAGATTATCGATATGGAATTCAGTTATGCAATTCTAGTGGACCAGTGATCAGTCTGAATATGCCGTCTGAAGCGTGTCGTCGTCAGTTCATTGACTGGGTATACGGATCTATAACTGAAATGGAGGAACTTCAACAACACCAGCAGATTAAACAAACTGAATGTGAGAAAATTATCATAGTTAAGCCTAGTTCCTATTTAAGTAGTGCTAAGATGAATATGGACAATGAGGACATCAATAACATATCCCTGTCTAAGAGGACTGTATCTAATTCTTAATCACAGATTAGTAGAATATCTCTAATTTGATTTCTTTTCATTTATAACTACAGAATATTTCAATTCAATTGTTTTAATTTTGGTTCCTTTCCTGAGAATTACAGAGTATATTGTATCCTGTAAATATTATTTTCCATCTATCTGTTCCAATCAGACCATATTGAATCTCTTCCTTCTGTGATATTTCGTCTGTTGGACGTACATATACAAAACACAGATTATTCCTTCTGGTTTTTCCTTATTGATTACTTTTGATTCAGTCCTTCAAATAAATGAAGATGATTTGTTTTGATGACAACTAAGAGATGTATTTTCGTAACAACAGGGAGTTTTATCGTAACCATTATCATTATATGCTTTCTTGTTTATTATCTCCTCCAAAGTATGGATATGTGCGCAAATCTGCTTTTTTGCGCAGTAATTTCATATCATTATGAAGAACACCGTCAACATATGTACCAGTTTACAGTCGCATTTGAAAATTGTATATACTTAATGGTTCCACCTCTTTTTACATGCCTTACCTATGGTACTTTAAACATCTTGAAGTACCAGTTCTTTTGGTAATACTAATTGCTTGTACATGTTTTGAGCATATTTTTTTTGAATACTATATACAGATTATCTTCTTCTCCGTTCGCCATATTGTATAGAAATAAACGGGTTGATTTTATGCAGTTTACTGAAGTGTCATTTAAAAACAACTCTATCGGTTTTATTGTGGTTGCAACGATGAAATGTATCTTCAGATAAAAGTTAAAATTCGAAGTCTCTCTTGTAACAAAACTTCACGAAGAAATAAGAATAGGTTGTTGAGTAAGCGAGTATATAATTTCAAGTTTACCGCTGTTGTCGCTCATCGAATGATATTTTTAAGAAAGCCTATGCAACAAGGAGTTTACAGAAATTATATCTGTGAAGATATGCTCCTGTTCAGTGATATCTGTTTTTTGAGAGTTCTACTGCTAAGTAACATACGGAAATGAACAGATCTCGTTGTAAATATTGTTTCAAAACACTGAGATAGAAGCAGTTCTCTTTCATTTTTCTAAAGATACTCTTAGACATGTATCAAGTGTATTATGTGACACTATCCTTGGATATTCTGTAATCAGGGGCCAATAGCTTTGAGGACTGAAGTTGTTTCACGTTCCCTGGTGTATGCATACTTTAAGTGCTCATAGAAGATTACTAATGTATGGATTTTTTGGTCATGTAGCAGATGAATTAGAGAGGGAAACTCGATGTATCTGAAAGGTTTGTGATTAGTAAAGGACCGTTTTCCTAACATGTTACCTATGGTAAAAAAGTAAGAGAAGTGGTTTTTTTCCTTGTTAAGTGTTGCAGTGTTGGATCCTATACTCCTTAGTACTGGAGTTATTGTAAAAGTTTGAAATTACTATCATGCGAAGTAGGTGATAAACCTCCTAAGTGGGTGAACACTTGACAACATCAAAAACAGTCTCTGTAATGACTTTGAATAATCGCCTCCTAAAAATCATATTTTTTCATTCTTCTGTACATCGTTAAGATTTCAGTGAACCAACTTTTTCTTTTTAATGAGTCTGGAGGCAATTGGCACCACTTAGCAAGTGGAATTGTTAGGGGGAGCGTTGGATAATATGATTTTGAAGTCAGTAATTTCGCGAGGATTTCATCTTAATAAGTAACATGTTGACCACTTTTCAAAATATTGGAGTCATTTATTCTTGATAAATTTGGAAAAAGTAATAGCAAACAGATTAGCAGAATAAAATAACGTCGTTTTATTCCATGGATATTCTTCAGCCACATACAAGCTAAAGCTCGCATACTCAGGTTAATATAAATGATGAAAGGAATTAATGCATCATTGGGAAGCAACCAGTTTCACGTTGTCCTGAGTACTGACTGAATTCTACCAATTAGACAACATGAAAGTGGTTACTCTTTGGTGACCAATTAATACATCTAATCCAGTCCCACAGGAAGCCAGTTTCACCCGAGTACCTTGGTGGTGACATCTCTGGTCACAAACTGGATAGCGTGGGTTCCAATCTCAGTTCCATCATGGTTGCAAATACGCCTTCCTGACGACTGTCAAGGAGCAGGAAGCCTAAGTCCCGGGCCTCCTACTGATTGTCTCAAACCAAGTAATAATGAATATATAGTTAGATCGATGATTTTAGATCTATAAAAGTGTTATTGAATGAATATAGGCTCCACAGAAGGGAGTCATTGCACAACTGAAGAATTATGTAAGCGCGTGAACGATAAAAACAACAAAATAACGGTGGTCAACACTCGTTAGGTAGAAAAAAAGACAAAATTTAACGGAAATAACGTCGAAATATTTACTAGGGTAAGAAAAAGATTATTTACAGTCAGGGGTAAAATGTCTGACAGATAGAGCTTCAGAAAAGTTTAGCGAACTTGGTAAATTTTATTTATTTCATATCCTGAAAGCTCCGGCGATATGTTTGAGGCCCAGTTTCCATCACATATCTGTGAACTTCCACTTTCTTTCAGACATAGATTTCTGGGAACCTTTTAGTAAAATCAAGATAGTGTCTCTTCCTGCTTCTTCCTGCTTACTTGCTTTGATAAGTGCATGTCTTCCTCTAAGTCTAGTGAGCTTTGACTAGGTTTTTTATGAGTTTTGGTGCGTTTATACAGTAACTCCATTCCCTTGAAACGTTGTTCGTTTGACGAAACCTTTATAGATCTGGAATCGCTGACTTGACAATAAGTAAATTGGCACTTATCATTAGTGTTGTTATCATTTATCCCTGGGGTCGTGGGTGAGTACTGCCAAAGAGTTCTATACTAGGACGAAACAGCTATCTAGAACTCCTAGGTTTTAGATAGTTCTCCAAATGATATCACCCTGCTACGGATATCGTCTTGATCCCTATAAATCTCCACAAGCCTAGTCGAATATTATTTATCTTGACCAATGTATGCAAATTTTACTTTATATGGATTTAATGAATGTCCGTGAAATGAAATGGCGTCGTTTTATTTTGCAAATATGTTGTTGCTTGTTTTGCTAAGATATTCAATTCATGGAATAGCAATTTTGTGGGACAATGGTATTTTGGTTTAAAGGGAATGTCTACAAGATTCAGAGTCACAATATTGCTTATAATCTCGATAGAAACGCCAAGTATGTCAGGCGTGCCTTTTTAGACCATTTGATTCTATCCCCAAATATCGTGTGCTGGACAAGCTAGACGAGACAAATACTGATTCCTGAGTAATCAGCTGGCTGTGAACCTATTTCTCTGAAAGGAAATAATATACTGTTTACAGAGGGAAGCGCCCCACCTTATTGCTTATCGAGGCTAATGTTCCCCAAGGTGCCGTTCTGTTTCCTTCTGCTTGACTTACTATCTTCAGTCAGTACCAATTTTGTCAGATATGCTGATGACCTCACAGTTTTTGTATCTGTATTCTCTTCAAAAGATTGTGCCCAACTGAACGATTTCCTATTTACTATTAAATAGTGATCCTCAGTGAGTGGTTTTATGGTTAATTCTTTAGAGTTTCATATTATCAACTTTGGTTTCAGACGCAAACGCAAGCTGTTTGAACTACTTAAGTTTCGTGATGGTCGTGCATTAGAGAGTGGTGCAGGTGTGGCTTATGTCAGGGTGTGTTTTTCTTCTGACCTTTCCTGGTCCACCATATCTTGCTGATTTCCAGAAAAATCTTCTGTCTAAATATATTAGGAGGCTGAGAGTATCTGGTATAGCTCAGCCTTTTCTCTTGTGCTTTATGAACTCCTTGATTTCGGCCATTCTCCTCTATCGTTTGCCTTTATTCTTCTCCAGGTTGCTGAAAAAGACTTTATTGTATTGCGCAGAACTTTGAAGACTGTCAGCAGAAGGGGTGATGTGCCCCTAAACCTTCTGGTTAAAACAGTTAGGGACAAACATATTAACTCATACAAACATCTGCCAAGAGTTATTTGATCACATGACCAACATTCGCTTTCCTCGAAACTCTTTGCGTTTCAGTCACCAGACGAGACCAGGACTAAGTATATAAGACTTTATTCACGTACTACTAAATATAAAAACTCTAGAGTACCGTATTTAGCTCTTCTCCTGTGCAAAAAAGACTATCAGAAACGAACTAACACTAATCATCTTTTGTTTTTGTAGGTAAATTAATTAAAAATTACGCAGTTTGGTGTTATTCATTTATTGTGAATCTAACTGCTAATGTGACTGTTTACCTAAATTAACTCTGTATTTTCAAGAAATCGGTAGATGAAGTAAATATCCTAATCTTTTATATGTAATTTATACTTATTTTATTATATATACATATACACTGCTACTGTCCAGTCGATGCTATATGACATGCTAAGAATTCTGTACTGCATTCTTGAAATACCTTTCAGGACAAAACCATTATTATTATTATCATTACTATTATTACCATTCTATCTAAAGAAAATGAAACAATGCACAACCAATATCTTTGACGTTGTAGCTGTACAGTCGAGATCCGAATTGGTGGCGAAATATCAGATTTCTTCAGGTTATATATACAAGTTACTAATAGGTGAAAATAAACATGGAACATAAGTCCAAAACCATTCAACTAACCCGAAACGCACAGTGCTACTGCCTGGGTGCTACTGCGCTTATCCTGCTGCTTGTTAGTTTTATGTACGAATAGTCCAACAATTAGAATGAATCAAAAACTCAGCATTTGTAGATTTTCACTGGGGGTGGAGTTACCATAAATTTCTAAGCTGATGATCTGAAATTACAATTACTTTCTACCAGGTTGGTGGTTAAACTATCTGAGTTAACTTTGGTTTGGAACAAAGTTTCTGATTTAAGAGTATGTTGAGTGGAATCTAGGGAAAGCTTTTATGAATGCAGAATCTGGGATTCAGGTTTGGTAAGTCGAAGGCCATCGGTAATCATGCCGTGTTCCAGTAATTAAATAGAAATGAAGTCCTACAGGTCAGTTTATTTAAGAAGACCAACAGTTCTAATCCTTCC